CCTCATATTGCCATCCTCTTTCTTTCAATGACCCAGACGTATTAGCTGCTGCCTCTCATACATAGAGGCTTGCAGGCCCATCCCCCTTGTCTCCTGCCCATCTGTTCTCTTGCAAACACTCTGCCTTTTTCCACTCCCAGAGGGAACCAGCTGACAATCCACATTGACAAACTGAGGGGGAGAGGAGAGAGAAGCAAGGACAAGGCAGCCCCCACACTCTGTGAGCAGGAGGGTTTTCACAAACATAGCAGCAGCCTTACAGCAGGAAAAAGCAAATCCTGTCCATCAGCTCATTCTCCCACTCAGCCATTTGTTCCAGTTTCCTGACTGTGATAAGAAAGAAATCCTAGTGTGCAAGTTAGCGCCGTGTGGAGCATACCTAAATTCTTCTTTTTAATTATTTTTTTAATGGGCTTCCAGTTTTCAGAATACAGTGGTACCTTGGGTTAAGTACTTAATTCGTTCCTGAGGTCCGTTCTTAACCTGAAACTATTCTTAACCTGAAGACCACTTTAGCTAATGGGGCCACCCGATGCCGCACAATTTCTGTTCTCATCCTGAAGCAAAGTTCTTAACCCGAGGTACTATTTCTGGGTTAGCGGAGTCTGTAACCTGAAGCGTATGTAACCTGAAGCGTATGTAACCCAAGGCACCACTGTATACAAACCTAGTTGCATAACAGCATAGTGCTTACATCAGTATAGATAACAATAAACGAATAAAAACCGAATAACATTAAAATCCAGGTCTTGTAAAGTGGATGAGCAGAAATTCTTGTATCTTTTTGTACAAAAGTGCAAAGGAGTTTTTGCTGCCTGAGATGGGACTCAAGCCCTTCCTCTGTTCTTCCACACCACCAGCAGCCACAAGTCTAATATAGCTTCATCAAGTCAGTGGTGAAAGGCTTTGCCAGGCGAGACTTGAAGGAACCTGTAGGAGGGCTGCTGACCAGACCAGTCCTCTGCTGGAAGTGGGGCAGTTGCTGCCCTTCGGTCAAATGAGAAAGGGGCCCAGCAGCAGCTCCCCATGGCCTAGCTGGCAGGCAGAGGTTCCAGTGGTGCAGTAGTCATGCCTCATGGCTGTAATGATCCAGCAAGGCAAGAGTGGGAATTCAAGCAGTGTGGTGGCAGAGACTCAGGCAGGTGGTGACCGCAGAATCACTTGCTCAGCTTCCCCCCTTTCAGTCTTATCATCTGAGACGAAGGATTGGGGAGGAACTTGATTCAGTTCACATTTATAGCTGAATTTATCAAATCAGCACTTTCTGAAACCATAGGAGAACTGAAACACAGTCAGCCTTCCAGATTCACACCGATCTGAATGTTGCGATGGAGTTCAGCAGCTGACCAATGTGTACAAAAATCAATGTATTAGGTAAAAGTGCATAAAGAATATATTAGTGAAAATAACAGACAAAAATGCATTATATTGGGAATTTTCTTTTGCAAGAATGTGTACGTTAGTCAAAACAGAAGTAGCTTTTATGTTGTGTGAAAGAAAACTCAAAAAGCAGAAATTAAAGGAAACATTGGGAAAACGGAAAAATGTGCTGTCTGGCATGCCCACCACAGAGAGCCTTGCCAAGCAACAGACTTAAGAAGTTTTTGGTAAAATATGATTTATTCTGCCACTCCTACAGAGATAGTTACCAATACTGTTGACGTGAATTTTATAGTGTTCTTACCTTAAGATATTCCATTGCTGAGGATGTTTTATTGCATTGCTTTTATGTGTTTTATTGTACAGTACATTATTGCAGCTGCTTTTGGAGAGACTGTTTATAAATATAAACAAACAGAGTGGCATTTGGCACATACTTCCGGATAAGTTGCTTAGGACTGAAACAGATGTGACACCAAAAAAAGCCATTTAAAACTAGCCTCAGAGGGATTTTAATTTATGTCAAAGCAGACTGGGAGAAGGGAATGTTAACCCTGCTTCTGTGGCATTATGAAGCTGCTATGAGATCCATCAATGGGGGGGGGGGGACACACACAGGTACTTGTGTGTTCATATTTTTCCACCAACAGGGCCAATAGCTGCATGGGAGTGGGCCAAACTGAACATTGTTTTTCACCAGCTGATGGTGGTATGCACCACACAGGTACCTGATGCACATGGCTTTATTTTGCTTTATTCTGCCTTACAAAGGGGCCTGTGTACTGAATGGAAGTAGAGAGTTGAGAAGCCCCATTTTCTCTAGGAAATAGCACCTAAGAATCAAACTACATGTGCTGCGACCAGATCTCCTGGTGACCTTTTGGCTACATATCCACCATACATTTAAATCACACCTCCCCAAGGAATCCTGTAAGCTGTAGTTTGCTAAGCATGTGGGAACTGGAACTCTGGGGTGGTGGTAAACTACCGTTCCCAGGTTTCTTTTCTTTGGGGGAGGGGAGTGTTCTTCAAATATATTGTGTATATGCAGCCTCTATGTATTTGTGACTTGTCTTGGGATAGAACCTCTCTAAGGACTGGGTTAAATACCCAGAAGTTGCTAATAGACTCACTAAGGAGAAAAAGACAGACACTAAACTCGGCGGAGCTTACTTCTAAATGGGAATCCACAGGATTTTTGCCAGCTCATCTATCAACCCATGTCTGTTTATTGTATAACATTTTGCTCATCAGCGCTCCCAACCAGGAAGGACCATCTGCTCAACACCCTCCTCCCCCCTCAAAAAAACCAACCACCTTGCATCTAAGAATATGCTGTGTGTGCTTCAGAGATGCAAAAGAACGATATCTTCTGCCCTGAGTGTAGTCAACAGCAGCTTTGAGCTGAGGCGAGGGACGGGGAGGGATGGAGCCAAGTCATTCTTTCCCATATCCACCCACAGTGGCTTTTAAGATTTAAAGAAATTATCAAGAGAGCCAATAATGCATGGCTTGCATTACATCTTACTTGGCCTTAAGGGGCAGCCTTTCATTGGAAGATGACACCCTTAGGAGTGCTGTGCAGCAATGAATAATGGCTATTACATTTTGAGACATTTCCAGTGCCTAATAATGCTGATCTGATACCTACCTGGGAAATTGCCATTTTAGGCCTGGAGCCTTGAATTGAGTCCTTAGCTGCAAGTTACGGCTGCAAATTAATGCTAAGGTTTTCATTGCTATTTTAGATGCTGCAGCAAAATTATGGCGCACTTTGCTGCTGTTCATTGAAAACTCCTTTTTTCTCCTCTTTGCAGATGTTCAGCCGCCTCCAGCTCAATAACTTGAGCTTCTCTCCAGAGAGCTTTAAGTTCTTTAAATATCTTCAGGTTGCCAGATTTCTTATGTTCTCTATCCAGGAAACCAATTTTGTGTCTAAACTCTCGAGATTAGTTTGACAGCATCTTCCGTGTGTTCCATGCAGCCCAATAAAATCCTGCCTAATTGCTGCCTTTGCAGAGTCTGGGGAGTGAGTGGATTTGGCTTTAGACTATCATTGTGGACAATAAATTCTTCTCAGGCTGCCGTTAAGCCTTATTATTGAAATTGGAGCTGCAGTTCTCTAAGTAACCCCAAAGCACCTTGTACAGTTGCTCCCTTCACACACAATGCAAGGCTGTGATTTGCAGGCAACTGATATGATGAATGAAGACAGAAACACCAGCTTTCTTTCCTCTTCAAAATGAAAACCAGTGTTTCTTCAAACACAGCAGTGAGCAGCACTTAAGTGGAAACTGATAGGATTTATGTTAGTAGTGACAAAACTGTTTTGTCACCCACCCACCTAGAGACTTAAACATGACTAAATTTAGTTGGATCTGAGCCAATTTTGTTAAATTTAGTTGTATTTTTTATTTATTTACTCCATTTCAAAGGGCTGCAACAGGAGGAAGGTATCTAAAACACCCTGCTTCTGCTTAAATATGTTTAGTATTGTACTGTTTTCTTTCATTACTGCTGCTAATTTTATTTATAATAATTAACAGCACAATCCTAGGCCCGTCTACTCTGAAGTAAAATCCCAGTGAGTTCAATGGGATTTATCCTCAGAGGCTTCAGAGTAAATGCATTTTTTTGTATCAAAAATCATTGTACGGTAATGATGACTATACAGCTTTAATAATGTACATAAAACTTCAGTTTTACGATGGAGGAAATAAAGATAGGTACTGTGTCCACAATTTAATTTTACCATGATTTGTAAAGTTTAATAGAACACATCTTATTATATAGTCAGAGACTTGGTAAACGCTCAATATAATTTTATTTGTATTTCTTTACTTCATAAAATTTATATACCACTTGATTGTAGGAAAAAACCTCAAAGCGGTTACCGTTTTCCCATGACTACATTAAGGACCTTGGTGGGATCAAAGGTGGGTTATTTAGAAGAGGTAGGGCTGGATCCAGACCCATAGCTGACCTATTGACACTAATGGAACAAGGTAGTCATGACTACCTTAATTCTCATTGATTTCAGTGGCATGACTGTCTGGCTACAAGCCTGAATGCCTATTTTATTTTGTGTGTGTGTGTGTGTATAACACTATTATATTATTACACTTTGTAGCCATGATCGTTATTCATCAACCAAGCTTCCTTGCAATTAAAGAGAAAAAATGGCATATGAAGGGGGAAAGGGGGCAGCATAGTAACACTCCCCCCCAAAAAAAATCTCGGTGAATAGATTTTAAAATGTTTTTTTTTTAAAATGCTGACGTGAGCAGAAAACTCTGAACTGAGGAAAAGTTTATTGGGTCGGGGAGGGGAGGGGGCAGCAGAAACCGCCCGTTGGTTCGACCTCGAAGATTCAAGTCTCCCTCCAGCAGGGGGAGGAGCGGCAGGAGCTCTGCATACACACGCGTGCGCGCGCGCCCTTCCCCTCCCCTCTCCGCCTCCATGGTAACCAATCGCCGCCGCTACCGCGCGCTCGCACCAACGAGCCGGAGGGCTGAGCCCCCTCCTCTCCCTTCTCGCGTGCGCGAAGAGGGACGCGCGAGCGCTCTCTCTCTCTCTCTCTCTCTCTCAGGCCGGCCTTTCCATCCTCCCTCCCCCCCGCCCCGCGCGTTCTCACCGGGTCGTCAGCCCAGAGTCAGGAGGATGCGAAGCCAGCCCCCTCGCCGCCAGCCGCGAGTCGCAGTGTTTCGTAGTTAGGCGTCCCTCCGCAGGTAAGCCAAGTCCAAAGGGGTCCGGGGGGGGGGAGAGATTTATTTTTTTCTCTCTCTCCCCTCCCTCTCACTCCTTCGCGAGGCATGATGGGAGTTGTAGTCTCGCCTTCGCCTGGTAGCCCAAGGAGACGCGAAGCTGACAAAAGGACTACAAATCCCAGCGAAGTTCTTGTCTCGGGCTTCGTGCCGCTTCTTTTTTGCCTGTGAGTCTCTTTCAGCGCCCCCTCCCCACTCCCGCTTCATTTTGAGGGTCGGCTAGAGGTGGGCGGGGGAGGGGGAGAGAAAGGCAGTTATGTGGAGGGGAAGGTGGTGGGGAAGCGACCGCACTGTGGGGCGTCGCCCATATAACGGTGTCGAGAGGCCCCTCCCCTCCTCTTCTGCCTGTAGGAGGCCTTGAGATTTCGGGCTCTCAGCCAAGGTTGGGGTGGCAACGTTAGGCAGCTAGATCATGATGCTATAGGTTTACGCGACAAGAAGGAGCTGGGAAATTAATGAGATATATTGCCATGGCTGCAAAACCAAAAGAGAGAGGAGGCTGTACTTAGGGCTCTGCAAATAATGTCTCCTGTATAGATTTCAGTGCAAAGGACAATAAAACCAGATAATTCCTTGCAGCTTTAATGTTGGAGATTGCTGTCCCCCTTCACAACGTGATGGGATGAATTTAACATTTCAGGCTTTATTATTAATAATACTGCACTATCTCTGCAGGTCTCACAGGATAAAATTAGAATATAAAACCACAAAATACATAATAAAAACAAAAAGAACCCAATAACAACCCACCCCCGCAACGTATTTTAAAAGGGCATAGGATGCCAATCATGATGTAGCAATGGATTCATTTTGTATTTCAGCTTGTTTTCCTTGAAACAATTAAGATTTTAATGGCAACAATTTAAGCGTTTTAAAAGAAAATCTGTTCAGGTCTGTATTGGATGAAGTATTTTGAAGCATTCAGTTGGGTGAAAGCTAACTGCAATCTCACCCTTTTCTAGAGCTGTGCCCTTTCAGAGTTCTTCTGCAGTTGCAGTGATGCGGGTTCTCACCTGGATGTGATGCTTTGCATGTTTGAAACTGCCACCATCAGTTGAATGCCACAGGTAGAACACTTGGAGTCTTTCAAACACAGTACGTTCCGATAGAGGCATTTCACACATTGTCATTGTATGATGCTCATGAAGCAGCTATGAGTGGCATCCAAGTTAGCAAGGTGTGCTCAGCATGCTTTCATGTTCGCTTTAAAAATATTATTATCTCTGTCTCCATGGAGGACCCAGAAGACAAGACCGCATCAATGGGCTTGATGTGGCCAAAAAACGTGCAGAATCCTGGCAAGACTGAGGTCCTATAGGCAAATGGGTATTGATTTGAGAAGCTGCATAGGTAGCCTGTTCTGGAAAGGGTTGCAACCCACCCACAAATATGATTGTGGAGCCTGGGGCTGTTTCTGTACCCAGCATTGTTATTTGAGGCACAGGTGGCCTCAGTGGCAGAGAGTGCCTTTTTCCAGCTCTGGCTGATTCATCAGCTCTGACCATTCCTGGTTAGAGAGAACCAAGCCAGAATGACACATCGTCTGTTAATCTCATGTTTGGATTACTGTAATGCACTGTATGTATGGCTGCCCTTAAGAACAACCCAGAAGTCGGGAGTGGGACGGGGGTTTGAAAATGGAATACAAGCAATTTATTCTGAGCAGAAAGCTAAACTAATAGTGAATAATGTGGTGTCGGAGGAATTCAAAATTGAAAAAGGGACACGACAGGGGTGCCCTCTATCCCCTCTTTTATTCATTTCAGTCCTGGAGGTGCTATTGAACATGATAAGGGAGGACCGGAGGGTACAAGGGATAGAGGTCGGAGTGAAACAATATAAACTGAAAGCTTTTGCAGATGACTTAGTTTTGACACTGCAGGAGCCAGAACCCAGCACAAAAAGAGTTCTTGAACTTATATCTGAGTTTGGTCGAGTGGCGGGGTTTAAACTGAATAAACAAAAAACTAAGGTTCTGACTAAGAATTTGACACCTACAGAAACAGAGGGATTTCAGAGAGAAACAGAATTAAATGTGGTCAAAAAAGTGAAATATCTAGGGATTAATTTGTCTTCCAAAAATTTGAATTTATTTAAAGATAATTATGAGAAATGCTGGCTGGAAGTTAAAAAAGATTTAGAAATTTGGTCAAGATTGAAACTGTCCTTGCTGGGAAGAATTGCGGCTATAAAAATGAATGTATTGCCGAAAATGTTGTTTTTGTTTCAAACCTTGCAGATCGTGGACAGAGTGGAATGTTTTGGAAAGTGGCAGAAGGATATATCTAGGTTTGTCTGGCAGGGCAAAAAGCCCCGAATAAAGTTCAAAACACTAACTGACTCAAAAGAAAGAGGGGGGTTTGCCCTGCCGGACTTAAGGTTGTACTATGAAGCTGCAGCCTTCTGCTGGTTGAAAGACTGGTTTTTGCTGGAAAATACTGATGTCCTAGATCTGGAAGGTTTTGATAATGCTTTTGGTTGGCATGCATATCTACGGTATGACAAGGCTAAGGTTCATAAATTGTTCAAAAACCACATTGTCAGAAAAGCAATTCTTGCAGTCTGGATGAAGTATAAAGACTTATTAGAGTGCAAAACACCGAGGTGGTTATCACCGGTGGAGGCCAAGGCCCGAAAAAGACTCAATATGGAGGCCTACTGGCCGAAATATTGGGAATTAATAGAAAATATTGGAGACAATTGGAAGCTGCAGAGCCAGGATAAATTAAAAAATAAGGTGCGTGACTGGTTACATTATGCTCAAATTCAAGAGGTTTTTAAAATGGATAAAAAGGTGGGTTTCCAGGTGGAAAAATCGAAACTAGAGACAGAATTGTTAGAACCAAAGACTAAGACTTTATCGAGAATGTATAACTTGCTGCTTAAATGGAATACACAGGATGAGGTAGTTAAATCTGCCATGATAAAATGGGCACAGGATGTTGGACACAATATAATGTTTGAAGACTGGGAAAGGTTATGGAACACCGGAATGAAATTCACGGCATGTACGGCCTTGAAGGAAAACATTATGAAAATGGTATACCGGTGGTACATGACCCCAGTCAAGCTAGCTAAAATATATCACCTGTCTGACAACAAATGTTGGAAATGTAAGGAGGCAGAAGGGACATTTTTCCACCTCTGGTGGACCTGCCCAAAAGTGAAGGCCTTCTGGGAAATGATACATAATGAATTAAAAAAGGTATTTAGGTATACCTTTTCTAAGAAACCTGAGGCCTTCCTGCTGGGTATGGTGGACCAGAAAATGTCAAAGAAGGATAGAACTTTGTTTATGTATGCAACTACAGCAGCAAGAATACTCATCGCAAAGAACTGGAAGACACAAGATTTACCCACGCTGGAGGATTGGCAGACGCAGTTGATGGACTACATGGAATTAGCTGAGCTGACTGGCAGAATCCGAGATTTGGATGAAGAAATAATCGAGGGAGACTGGAGAAAATTTAAAGACTATTTGCAAAAACATCACAAGCTGTATGAATCTTAAGTTAGTGCATGATTGAGAAATACTATGCTTTGGTAAATATGATTAAGTAAATGTTAAAATAAGTGATAAAAAAGGAAAGGAGACAATTTGAATTGAACATGTTATGTTTATTTTAAAAGTATTGAAATTAAGATACAATATATTGAATTTGGATGCATAACAAATTGAAAGTTACAATAAGGTACGAAACAAGGTAACAAATTGCTGACATTACTAAATTATAAAGAATGCAGTTCCGGAGGGTGTGGGGAAGTCCAAATAGGGAATGGTTTATATACTTTTTTTGGTTTGGTTTTTAATTGGTCTTTGATGTAAAAGAAAAGAAAAATTGTTTCTTGTATTTAATGTATTTGTGGTATTTGGATTGTTTGAAGATATGGAAAGGAACGCAATAAAAAATTTATTAAAAAAAAAAAAAAAGAACAACCCAGAAGTCACAGTGGGGAATGCTACTGCCAAAATATTGTTCAGGGCAGCATGTAGGGATAATTTAATACCTAACCTGGAAGATCACTTCCAGCTGCTCTATGGGTAGTTAAAAAGAGAAAAGGGGCAGATCTGGGATTCAGTCTTAGACCCCCCCGCCAAATCATTCCCTAACATCACCCATACTTATTAACATGTGCATCTGTATTGTGGAGCAAAGGAAAACTGAGGAAACAGGTCTAGTAGAGCATAGTGTTTCCTGGAATGGCAGAAAACAGAGTCTGCAAAAATGTTGTATGCAGGTGATTCAAAAAAAGGAAAAGCCTTTCAGAAAATATTAGATCATTGGTGTCTTGTTTATAACCCATAGAGAGAACTTTCTTTCTAACCTTGGTTAGGGATCAGCTCAGCTTATGCTGTTAAGAGTGAAGGTTAATATCTTTTGTGACCTCCTTATCTTATCTAGTGTAAGATTTCTAAACCTTGGGCAGGAGCAGCAGCTTTCTGACATGCATATATGAACTCTATTATGCATGATACATAAATGAAGGAGACTCAAAAGCTACCTGGATTTTGTGATGGACTAATACAGGAGTCAAATTAGAGTTTATGCAAATCATGACAAAACTGTAAAAGGGGGGGGGCAAGCTGTTGGCATAAATGTAAGTAGCCAAAATGCTAGTTTTAAAGAGCCATGTTCTGCAGGCAGGAAAAAAACTTGAAAATGTTTGAAGAAAAAACATTTTTGGTTATATCCTGTGCTGTATGAGCAACATTCCACTAATGCAGTAGGACTTTCCTTTCCTCTTTTCCATGTGCCCCTCAAATTGCTTCAGAGGGTCCCCCAACAACATGAGTCGGGAAAGCATTGCAAGCAGTGCCCCAATGGTATGGGGACTGTTTGCTTTACATAGCAGAGGTTGTCTTGCGTTCATTTCAAACTGAAGAACATTTTATAGAGCCTTTTTGGAGATGGACAGCACTCCTTTTGAGATTCGTGCTCTTGATTTGTGAATACTTAAGACTTGGAAATGTCTGGGCCTGACTTTTAAGACAGGTTTCCTGTTATGTTTGTTATTAGTAGGATACAGTAAGCCTGCAATTTAGGCACATTTTAGTTGTGCACATTCAGCTTTCCACACATGACAATTTAAAATAAATAAATAAATAGAGGCAGAAGGGGGCAGAGTTATGGAAAAATGATTTTGGCAATCCCATCTGCCATTGAACCCAGTGAGTTTTGACCACATGTGATTTTGGCTTTAGGCACAATCCCCAGAACATAATCTGAAGCTGTGTCCAGAATACTGTCTATTCCTGTTGTTTTGGATGAGTTTCAATTTGGAAGGCTCAAGGATGTGGACAGGGTGCTTGGATCAGTCAGGGCGACCACTTGAGCTCTGGATCCTTGCCATCTTGACTGATCAAGGAGGGGACAGTTGGCTGGGCCTGGGAGGTGATTAATGTTTTCTTGTGAGAGGGGGTGGTCCTTGCCTGCTTGAAGGAGGCAATGGTAAAACCACCTCAAGAAACCCTCCCTGGATTTATTGGTTTGTTTCTGTTTTAGTATGTATTATGTATATTGTGTCCTCATTTTGCACTTTTCTGTTGTGAACCTCCCTGTGATCTTTGGATGAAGGCCGGTATACAAATTTAATAAACAAATTGTGTTTTCCTTGTGCCAAAAATAACTAGGTGACATCACCTTCTCTTCAACCATGTTTTCAGAAGCGTCCTGGAGGGCTTTACTGTACAGTATCTCAAGTGCATTAATTTGTTTGGGTTGTTGTCTGGAAAGAGGCCCACTTCAAGTAATCAGTTCTGTACATTGAAGCAAAAGAGCATTGCTTGGCCAGAACCTGCAGTGTAGCCTATGTTTTGACTGCTTTGCAACTGTCATTCAGCAAGGCATCTTTTGTGACGACTAGAATGAATAAAAAACAACATAGAGCCAGCTTGTTGTGTGGGTTGATTTTTTTTGAAAGATCTGAAAAACCTGCTTCTGTATGGATGAGTAGAGGGTTGGAGACTATTTTTATTGATGAGATGCAGTACTTTTGTAGCAGAAACCCGTATCCTTGCCATTATTGGGCCTCACATGCATGAATACTGCTGTTGGGTCTTCATTGTGTAAAACATTGCTCTATATATTTCGGCCTTATTCACAAATGACACCTTTTCAGTGAATTTATTTTTAAAGGTAATATGTGAATGATGGCTGGGAATAAGTGTACCACAAGACGCATATGTCAGAGAGCTTGAATAAGATAAGATTTCTGGTGGTGGTTGGAGGCTCCATAGTTAGCAAACCAGCAATAAATTGTGCAGAACAGTAAAAGGTGAGATTATAGGCCTAAATTGCAATTTTTTAGATTTGTTGTTTTTCACACACAGAAGAATGTCCCAAAGTGACTTACAGCATAAAATACATTAAAACTGTTTTTTTAAAAAATGCAGATCTTAATTGTGTTCATCCAAGAATATTCATAGAAGGACAAATTCTACCCACCTCACTAAAGGATGAACACTGAAAAGGCCAAAAAACAACAACTCACTACCCTCCCAATTAACGAGGTCTGGGTAAATGGATGTTTAAGCCTTGCACCTAACACAAACACTGATGGCACTGGGCATAAGTCCCTTGGGAGAGTTTGCTGCAAACATGGAGATACCACTGAGAAGGCTTGCTTACATATTGTGGATCTCTGCGAGTTGAGAAAGCATGTTGAGAAGACCCTCTAATGGCTACCACAAGGTCTAGATAGGTTCAGATGAGGAGCGGTATTGGAGCCCTGAGCCATATAGAGCTTTTAAAGGTCAAAACAGGACTTTGAACTGAGCTTAAGAACTGATCAATGGCCACTGCAGTTGTGCAAGAATTGGACTCGTGACCTCCGCAATCTTGCTACTGAAGTCTGTTCTAACTGAAGTTTCTGAGCCATCTTCAAAGGCAGACCCATCCATGTATACAGTGGTACCTCGGTTTACGAACTTAATCTGTTCTGGAAGCCCGTTCTTAAATCAAAGCTGTTCTTAAACTGAGGCGTGCTTTCCCTAATGAGGCCTCCCGCCACTGGTGCCCTTCCACCGTTTGTATTCCATTCTTAGACCGAGGTAAAGTTCTCAAACCGGGACACTATTTCTGGTTTTGCGGAGTTTGTAAACCAAATTGTTCTTAAACCGGACTGTTCTTAAACTAAGGTACCACTGTAATGTGTTTCTGTAATCTAACATTGAAGCTACGACAGCACAGACAAGAGAAGTTTGGTTATCTCTGTCTTTACAGTGGTACCTCTGGATGCGAACGGGATCCGTTCCGGAGCCCCGTTCTCATCCTGAACCGAACGCAACGCGCATCTGTGCATGCACGGGTCGCGATTCGCCGCTTCCGCACATGCGCGTGATGTCATTTTGAGTGCGCATGCGCGAGTGGCGAAACCCGGAAGTAACGCGCTCCGTTACTTCCTGGTTTCCGTGGAGCGCAACCCGAAAATGCTTAACCTGAAGCTACTTCAACCTGAGGTATGACTGTATAGGGTCATAGGTGTTGGAAGACACACTATGCAACAAAGGTGGTTTGTGCCTTGATCAACAGTACATAATGGATTCACAAATACCCCCAAGCTATGCACCAGTTTCTTCAGGGGGGGGAGCAGTATTCAGAGCAGACTGAGCCCCACTCATCTGGTCTAACAACACCTCAGATTTTTTGGTCTCATCCAGTCCATGAGAATAACCTCAGGTTACTACTTAATGATTTGTTAGACCGCATGCAATGATTTTCTTTTTATGTTTCCATGCTGTGTTGTAGGTTTCTCGAAGAAAATGAATTTGGCCGAGATCTGTGATAATGCTAAAAAAGGAAGGGAATATGCACTTCTCGGAAACTATGACTCCTCCATGGTTTATTACCAGGGTGTCATCCAGCAAATTCAAAGACACTGTCAATCCATCAGAGACCCAGCACTGAAGGGCAAATGGCAACAGGTATGAAAAAACAATACTTGCATGACTAGATATTTTATTTATTGGGAAATATATATGCTGCTGGTGGTGGCTCGTGTGATGGCCAGAAATAGAACAAAAAGATTGAAAACATTAAAATAAACAATACAAAACTTCATAATATCAACAAATTAGGAGCGGGGCAGGCTGCAACATCTATGGAATGCCCTTAGCTATCAGTCACATTAAAGCCCCCACCAAATGATTTTACTCTTTTCCTAAAATCCATTAGTTGATCTGGCTAGGTTAGCCACACCTAGTAAGTGAACCACAAGAAAATGGGAATATCTTTCAGCAATTTTTAAACACATTGATGGTCATGTATGAATTCTGCTAAATTGAAGTTCATAAACATTTAGTTGACATTTGCAGATTCGGTTTTTTCCCTTAAACAATGGTTTTTTACATCTAATGGAATCTGTTTTCTTTTTATTAATAATATTTTATTCATTCTCTTCTCTTTCTGAATGCATATTCATCATTGTACAGTGGTACCTCGGGTTACATATGCTTCAGGTTACATACGCTTCAGGTTACACACTCCGCTAATCCAGAAATAGTGCCTCAGGTTAAGAACTTTGCTTCAGGATAAGAACAGAAATCGGGCTCTGGTGGTGCAGCGGCAGCAGGAAGCACCATTAGCTAAAGTGGTGCTTCAGGTTAAGAACAGTTTCAGGTTAAGAACAGACCTCCGGAACGAATTAAGTACTTAACCCGAGGTACCACTGTATTCCAAAGAAACACCCCTGTTAACAAGCATGGTTAACTCTTTCTACTTCCTCTGCTGCCCCCGCTTTCCCTTTCCCATCCTTCTCCCCCTAACCCTCTTTCCTGTGTCTTGCTTTGATCCCTCCTTAGTAAAGGAGTAGGTGCTATAGTAGGTGCTATTTTGTAAGTTCTTCTTCTTTCCTGTATCACCTAATGTGCAGGAAGCTTAGACGGATAAGCCTGATTTGCTAAAAGCATTAACTTAGTCTGGACATTGTACAGTGCCATCAAAAATTTTGTGGCATATGTTTTGCGTTGATGTCAGAGATGTTTAATTTTCTACAATTACTTTTTGGTTGGTGTCAGTTCCAGGTAATACAAATTAAGAACAAAGCGGAAGAAGTTTAAAGACTATTTACAAAAATTTTATAAATTGTATGAATGTTAAGAAAGTGCATGAAAGGAAGGATTATGGCATCAGCAGCCTAGACGAGAAATGTATGAGAATAAGTTGAAACATAAAGACGAGATTTGAAGTAAAGTTATGCCTAAACTAAGTAGTTAAATATTTGATGGAAACATTTAAAATCTGAGACATAACATATCAGAACTAGAATATAATTGCTGAACATATCTTCTTGATGGAGAATGCAGGAAAGGGAAACGTGAGGAAGTCCAGATGGTTATGGAAAAAGTGTATGAAAAATTGGGATTTTTTCTTTTTCTTTCTTTGTATAGAGTTGTAAGTCATGGTTTCTGTGTTTGATATATGCTTGGTTATTTTCTTTTCTTAAAAAATGCAATAAAATATTATTTAAAAAAAAACAAATTAAGAACAAAGCAAATAAGAGTCATAGAACTTGGTGAGACTATATATGAGGAAAATTTAGAGTTGTGCTACAAGTCACTTCTTTAACCACAATTCTGTTACAGAATTTTGCTTTCGGGGGGGGGGGGGAATAGCACCCTTGTGTATGATGTACTAAACTAGAACAAGGATAATTTCATTGTTATTGTGTCTTTTTATTTAAACTGGCATTTTACATGAATCCTCTTTTCATATAATAAAAAAAAAACCTTAGCAGGATTTCATCTCACTATTTCAAAATAGATTTTTGTTTTGACTCATTTAGCCTTCATATTTGTTGGGTCCATTATGGCAGTTGCTCATTGCCTTGTCATTAATAAGAGCATCAATTTCTCCTGACATATTATCATGACTCTGTGACTGTGCAATGTACAATTGGCCCTTTTAATTTAGGGGTGCATTCACAAATGCCATCTTGCTGTACATGCAAGTAGTCCTAATCATCCGTATACATATACAAATGTAACTTGTAAGGCATGCAATCATGGATACAGTCAGCAGCAATGTCCATGATTGCATCAGCACTTTCCAGGGGCACTGACTATGGGCATTGCTGCCTGCTGGGTCCGTGAATGCCTACTTTTCATGTTACTTTGGCCCTACAAATGTGTAGTCATTAAAGTATCTGTTGTTAAGTGTCCTTGATAAAATCAGAGCTTGAAAAATAATATCTCTCTGATTCAGCAGGTTAATTCTCCCTGCCAAAACTAGAAAGTCCAGTGATTTCAGTGGGTCTATTCTGAATGTCACTTCCTTGGATATTGCCCAATGCCATTACACCTATTTAAAGATTTTTGTGGTGTGACACATTGAAGTCTTTCTTATTTGTTAAATTCATGGAATCATACTGTTGGCTTTCTGTGTGAGATGCTTTGATTGTGTTTGAGGTGTGTTTGAGGTGATCGTTTCAAAGGCCACACATCCTTTGATCGCAACAGGAGCGGAAATAGGCCATATGTTTGCTGTTGATAGATATAAGAGCAGGTTCATTGGAGGTTTCCGGTGCACTGTCTGTTCCATCTGTACTGGATCAGTTTTGATTACTGTGCCCTGAGGTTGTAGACAAGCTGCTTGAAGAAGTGTGTCCGACCACCTGCCCCCTTAATACTTTCCCATCTTGGCTTCTTAAAGCTAGTGTTAGGCTATTGATTGGATGGCTCCAGGAAATGATTAGTGGTTCACTGGAGAAATACCCAGCGACTCATATCCTCTTTTCAGGCAAGGTGCTCCAGAGGGTGGCAGCGGTCCAGCTTCAGGCATGCTTGGATTGAGACTGAATATCTGGATCCATTTCAGTCTGGCTTTAGGCCTGGTCATGGCACTGAAAGAGCCTTGGTTGCCCTGACATTTGTCAGGAAAGAGATGGGGGGAGTGTGGCTCTCTTCATTCTTTTTAACCTCTTGGTGGCTTTCCAAAACCATTGACCATGCATGCTATCTTTCTCGAGCAGCTCAGGGAGGTGGGGTTGGGGGCACTCTATAGTTCAACGGTTGTGTTCCTACCTTCAGGGCTATTTCCAGAAAGTAGTTTTGGGAGGCTACTGGGAAGCCATGGGAGCCTTCCTGTGGTGTTCCCCATGCTATTTGAAATCTATATGAAATGACTGGGAGGTGTCATCAGGAGTTTTGCTGGTGAAGGGCAGGTAATAAATTTAATGGTGGTAACATAAGCACATTTTTTAAATAATAAATGATACGATCTCATACAGAAAATTGGGCAAATAGGTGTTGGAGAGATAGACTGCAGTCTGCCTACTGCCAGCTGTGCAGTACATCATTCCTGCCTTATCCTGATGATGAGCTTAATTCTTTTGTAACTTAACTTGGAATGCTTTAGTCAGTGTAATAAACTCTGCTTATTTTCAAGGTTCGGCAAGAACTGTTGGAAGAATATGAACAAGTAAAGAGTATTGTCAACACTTTAGAGAGTTTTAAAATAGACAAACCTACAGATATTCCTATATCTTATCAAGATGACAATTTTAGGGATCCAACTGTTTGGCCACCTCCTGTTCCAGCTGAGCACAGGTAATTGGGTTTAAAATAAGTTTGCAGTTTTTATTGGTGGATTAATTACCTGTACTTAATATTTGAGAGTGTATGTAATATAGTGACTAAGAAACTAGGTTTATTTCAAACCTTGTATTACTTCTTTCCCTGTTCTGGCTTCTTTAGACTGTTTTCTGGTAGGGGCTTCAACTTTACTTGTTGTTGGATCGGTTCAGAAAACACAGCAAACAGCAGTGGCCTGTGTGAACCATTGTTCATAACCCTAAGTATGGTTTGAGCATATAAACATAGAGAAAAACTATGATTTACAGTGAGTCCTGCTTTGGGTAGGGATTGGCTGTGCTTCAGAGTTCCCACTTGGGAACTCCATAGTGTAGCCAATCCCACTGTGGCTTGTTGTCAGTGCTGATCAGCTAATTGGGGCTGACAGCAAGGCTTGCTTGCCAAGTAACAATTGGGAATGTACTTTACGTTTTTCCTTTGCAGCCATACCTCTACTTGTCCCATGCCTGACAACAAATTTGGGACCCGTGTTGAGTCTAATTTGGCTTCCAGGGCAGAGGTTCCCCCTCTCTGCTTTACAGAAATACAACCATTATGATTTTCATAGCCGTAGAAGGGGAGACAAGGTAGTATGGGGCTAGGTAAAGGTAAAGGGACCCCTGACCATTAGGTCCAGTCGTGGCCGACTCTGGGGTTGCAGCGCTCATCTCGCTTTATTGGCCGAGGGAGCCGGCGTACAGCTTCCGGGTCATGTGGCCAGCATGACTAAGCCGCTTCTGGCGAACCAGAGCAGTGCACGGAAATGCCATTTACCTTCCCACTGGAGCGGTACCTATTTATCTACTTGCACTTTGAAGTGCTTTCGAACTGCTAGGTTGGCAGGAGCAGGGACCGAGCAACGGGAGCTCACCCCGTCGGGGGGATTCGAACCGCCGACCTTCTGATCAGCAAGTCTTAGGCTCTGTGGTTTAACCCACAGTGCCACCCGCGTCCCTAGTATGGGGCTACAATGTACTTTAATTCCGCTCTCCGCCCCAAAGCATGGCCACCCACCCACTGGCTTCTCACAGATCAACTTGCATGATCTGAACATCACGTTTTCCCCACCGAATTGGGTAGCAAAACACAGCAGTAAAGCATTTTGTTTCTCTCCAATGCTAGCTGCATCATGTTTCCTTTGCTTGACAGAGCCCCACCTCAAATAAAACGACCCAATCGAGAAGTGAAACCTTTGAGGAGAGAATCGCCAGGATTGCAGCGTGGACCTGTGGGCAGAGCTCAACCAATCTCAAAAAATGAAAAACCTGCCAGCAGCCGAGAAAGGGAATCTAGAGCAAAGGGAAAAGATGAAAAGGTAAGAATTTAGGGGGCAGCTGGCAGGTACCTTTCTTTTGTGGAAAAAAAATGTATATTTTCTGTTGGCAAAAAAGCATGAATGTGTAATGAATGCATACTTACAAAAATATAATTTTCCTCCCAATATTTACAACTGGTTCAGATATTAAGAGAGAGAAAGGAACAGACTGTGAGAGTTACCATCTCCTTTGAACAGCTGATACAAGATACAATTTTTAAATCAATGAAATTTAGAATGTTGAAAAGTTTAGTATTATATTCTTTGCTTCCCAAGCCAAAATATGTCTGAGAGACTGAACTCCCCCCCAAAAAAGAAGAGGGGAAGATATGAACAGTGAATCTGTTTTGCTGTGTCAACACAAGAGAAATGCGTTTTAAAAATTACTCTGAAACTATTAAGTTGTATAATACAAATGTAGTCCATGGAGGAAGTGTATTCTCAGATAGCAGTTTTCTGCATGTCTTATGGTTTTGTCCTTGAGTTCATTATTACCGTGACATAAATAACCAAATTAATCTAATTTTGGGTTGGGCAGTAGATACTGATAAAAGCTACAGCTTTTTAAAACTACTGGGTACAAGCAGAGGATTTTAACACCAGCTATGCATAAAATTGGAAGTTTTGCTCTGCACCAACAGTGGCAAATGAAAGCCTGACAGATTTTTATTTTGGAAAGACTTTAAAGATAAAGTGAAATTGGCTCAAGGAAGGAAAAGCAATAATGATTTTCTTGAATTGTAATGAATGTAAGGTAGTTATAAAGAGGCAGGTTTTTTAGGCTATCTAAATACAGAACAATATTTTTGTATTAGCAAACTGTTTTACTTTGGTACATCCTTTATAGGTTGAGGGAAGTGCCTTTTGTTAATATGATTAGGAGATTATATCTCTGCCACAGTCTCAGGTTTGTAAAAATTCTATGGTAGATAGCTTTACTTTGTAAAGTATTGTTCTTTGTGACAATTTGATTTAGCGTCTGGAATTTAGAATCACATTTTAGCTTACAGGGTGTGTAAAGGAACACACACAATGTTCTCTGTACTAAGATTTTAGATAATATCTTTGCGGTCAGCTTGCAGAAGTAGGAAGTGCCTGTCTCTATTTCTGGTTTTATGCCAATGATGGCAGTGTTCTTTATTATTGTTGTCATTAGCTGTTTTTCCAAAACTTATATAAATAGTAGGAAATGATTTCCCCACAGATCGAATTCCAGTGTGATGTTGTAGAAGGTAGAGGATCAGAGTTGCTGTAGGGCAATCTGAGTTTCAATTCATTCTCATCCATGGAGTTAATTGCAGGACTTTGGGCTAGCAATCTGTCCCTTAGGATTGCTGTGAGGATAAAATTGGCTAGCCCCAGGAATGTCATTCTGGGCTCATTGAAGGTGGAGAAGTATACAAATGGAATAGAATAAATGGCGTAGTTAATCATACATGATGTGTGCGTGCTTTCGCTTAAATGGAAGTGACCTCTGTATAGGAAGATGCTGCATGAAGCAGCCATTAATAGCAGTGTGACAGATTCTTATGCTGAATGGATCAACAGTGCCAAGGTGAAATTAAAGGTTATGGTTAGAATGGAAAAAGACATGATAAAATGAAAATGCTTCGTGGAAGTTAAATGCATACCTGTCATTTGCATGTATGGAAGATGGCACTTGTCATAAAACCTTTATATTCTACTAGGAAAGAGCTAGGGCAAAGAGGGGAGGAAGATTTCCTTTTTCTTTTTGTCCACCTTCTCCACATGTTCATGCACACCCATTTTCTCTTTCATACACCTACATTCTCTTATAAGCATGCAGATATATATTCTCTTTCTCTCTTAATTTACATACATGGAAGTATACATACATGCCTTTGTTATTTCTCAACCCCCCCCCATGCATTATTTCCCCATTCATCTTCACTGCTGCTGCTTTTCCACTCATTCTTCTTCTTCCGCCCTCTGCCAGCAAGATTTGCTGGATTCTCTGGATCCAGGGAGGAGGCTCCTTGCCACATCCCGAGTGCTCTTGGACAGGATAACTAGATAGGACAGAGAGACCCTTTGCCTGCAGTGTTTCTCAAACTCTGGTCCCCAGCTGTTGTTTGACTACAACTCCTATCATCCCTGACCACTGGTCCTGCTAGCTAGGGATGATGGCAGTTATAGTCCAACAGCAGCTGGGGACCCAAGTTTGGGAAACACTGGTAGATGCCTTGGGGCAAAGGGATCCTGCAGCTGAGAGCTCTTAGAGTTAACCCATCAGTGTTCACTTTGCGTAAGATAAGATAAGCCTTCTCCCTTTCGGTGTAGGTCTAGCTCAGGCATCCCCCCAACTCGGCCCTCCAGATGTTTTGGGACTACAACTCCCATCATCCCTGACCACTGGTCCTGTTAGCTAGGGATGATGGGAGTTGTAGTCCCAAAACATCTGGAGGGCCAAGTTTGGGGGTGCCTGGTCTAGATGTAGTCAGGGTGTGGGTCTTGATTTTTAAAGCAACAGGAATGTGTTTTCCAGTAGCCCATCCCCAATGTGTTTTTTGTCCTCAGCCAAACTGTTTATTTCTCAGTCTAGTTGCTTCAGACAGTTTGAAGTTATGTTGTTCCCTCCCTCTTTCTGCTGGGAAGTGTGGTCCCCAAGCTGAGGGTGGAGCGAGAATGAGCAGCACTTTTCTTCCACTTCCCAGTAAGCATCTGGCTGGTTCCAGTTGTCAGAAGGCCTTTGAGTGTGCCTTCTCTAGTCAGAGCAATTTATCTGACATCACACTGATGTCATGTAGGAGTCGTTTGCAGAATGTCTAGGGGCGGGGCCTAATATCGCAACGTGTAATGCACCAGGATTATATATCTTCCTCCAAGCACTGCTTGTAACCAGCACAAAATGATGAATTCTGGAGGTTCTGGTGAGATGCATTACAGAACTTGTACATGGGTTAAACCTCCACTGATATGCAGCTATTGCTGAGAATAGTACTCCTAAAGCAGTGGCATTGTGCAAAGGACCCTTTATTGTACAAAGCAGTTCTGCTTACCTCTCAGCCGGGGATTTTTAATGCAAAGAATCTGGTCACTAGGTGGCAGAAAGGAAATAGTTTATACTTTATATTGCAAAATGGAGCACAAAACGTGAAGATGCATAGCCTGGGCAGCTGCATGAAGAAGTACTGTTGTGGGTTACAGTACTATATTGTTTCCTGCCTGCTGAGCTGCTGTAGGGCACAGATGATCGGTGGACTTTGTGTGAAGAAGCCAGCACCCAGAGGACAAAGCTGTTGGCAGCCTTGCACAAGTTTAACGGTCTTCTTTCCTTTCCTTCTGAGATTCTGCACCCTTCGGTTACAATCTTCTGATTTAAATGAGATTTTCAATGTTGCTTTTCTGTGCAAAAGGAAAGGTTGGTCAGAGATTTATGAATAGCTCTGCTGACTCTTTTTAAAAAAGTGGGCTTGGGAAGGAACCAGACAGGAGTATTCTGCTTCCAAAGGGACTTGGGAAGAAATCGCTACAAAGAGAACCCTATAAATTACCACTTCCGTACCCTCCTATTCCTCTGCCATCTTGCTTACCTGTGCCGCCCAATTCCCCAGCTGCATCTGTTCTCTTTCTCATTAGCCGCTTATCCCAAGCAGCTATTGACACTTTCTGATTTGATTTGAAGTATGTAGAGAACAAATTGTTTCTGAATTCTGTCTAGCTTGGCTAAAAACAACCAACCTGCAGACGTTTTTCTGCATCGCTGGGTACTGTAAACTTGCAAGGCATCTAAAAGGTTCTTTCTGAACTATTTGTAGTGCAGTATGGGGCTGCTGCTGTCTCATAAACTTCATAAACCTAAAGTATTTATAGGAACACTGAACTGTGTTGGTTTAAAAACAAAATGAAGAGATCGTTGGCATGTAGGGATGAGGATGAAATTTGATTCAGTTCATATTTAAAGGTGGATTTATCTGATTTGCATATTCGAAAATCAAACTGCAAAAACTGAAGCATAGCTACCCTAGGTGGAGCTTAGCTCAGAATCTCATTCCTCCCTGAAAACAGTACCCTCAAAATCCTCTCCAACTTGCAGCACCGTTGCCAGTTCTAGGACTTCCCTGGAAATCCTAAGTTGTTTTCAAGAACCTTTAATTTGCCCCTTGCTTTTAATTAAATGCAACCTTTCCCTATTTTCAGAGTTCATAATTCCCTTTGAAACAAAACAGTGGGATCAGGGGAAATAGTGCTAGCAATTCTCAGTTAGTGATCCCAATTCCCCCCACAATGTATATTGATCTGATTTACCTGCTTTTAACCCCCCCCCTTGGCATTTTCTTGAAATGTGCTTGTGCTCCCCCTCCCCCTGTGTGTGTGTGTGTTGGGGGGGGCTTTTTTTAGTCTTTTGCTTTCATGTTTTGTTGAGGTATGATGATGAAGGGAGTATGGCACAGAGAACAGCTCAAAAGAAGAAAAAGAAACGTAGCTGTAAAATTCTTTTAACTTTCAGTTGATTAGCTTTCAACATCTTGATCTAGGGAAAGAAGATCCCCCAGGATGGTGCCGGTGATGGTGAAATTCAGAAGTTTGATGGAGCAGGATATGACAAAGATCTGGTTGAAGCTCTCGAAAGAGACATCGTGTCAAGGAATCTAAGTATTCATTGGTACAGTGCTTACTTTGTAAAGTGAGAAATGCTAGAATTCTTATCTGCCCAAGAAACCAGATACCTTCATCCTGACGTTGTGGTTACTGCATAGTAAGTAAAACTCAAGGAAAAAACAGGAAAAGTGGCTTGTGGCCCTTAAAAACCAGCATAAGCTGTGGTGGACTAGAGCTTAGTTGCAAAAACAGAATGCACAGCTACCTTTCTGCAACTTGTATTGTGAGTGCATTTTCTTCCTACACTACAGCCATTCTCTACACATTGAGTGCTCTAGATATATTCAAAGGCATGTTCCTGCCCCAAAAGTACAAGGTAAAAACTGATTTCATAGTTATGATCCCCAATATTCAAAGTTAAGTTCCAGTGAGCCAAGGCTCAAACTAAGCTCAAACTGGCATCAAGTCTGGTTCACGTGACATGGTAATCCAAGCTTTGTCTGGCTGTTGGAAAGCAGCTCACAGGTGATTTTCTCCTCCTTGGTCTTTTTTGCTTCCATTTGGCTTGTGGTTAGTGAGAAGAGAGCTTACCCCATGAACCTAGGCTTAGGGACTGCAAAGACAATTTCTGAAGCCTCCCTTTTCCCACCTATGGTCATATAACCAGTAATGGACAGGGCATGTAATCCACCTAGAAACAGAGGATCCAAAGTTCTCAGCTAACTTTAACTGAGGTCCTGCATGATGCTGTCTTACCCAGCCCAAATAGTGTGGGCCTTACAGTTTCTTTTAGGATCCTACCTCCTGATAGGTGTTCAGTGATGTTCCTTGCTGTTAGGGCTCTCTGAACTTGTTCAACTTCACACCCTATCCCTTCCCCCCTCCCAAAAGAGCAGTACTAGCCTAATCCTCTCCAACCTGCAGGACTGTTGGCAGCCTCCCCTTTTTGCTGGGTCCAGGCTACCATTTCAGCCTGAGATTGAACTAAAGGAGAGTGTTGGAAGTCTAAAATATTTGGGGCATCTGGTACAGTTGTCTCAGTCACTCAGTGGATCTCATATATTTCATAGACTCATAGAGGGCTAGCTCCGTGTGTCATGATTTAGACAGTGGATATTTCTCCTATATTGGGACCACCTGGTCCACTATTGTAAGCAGACATGTAACTAGCCTCTTCAGGCTTGACAGCCTCACCTCCCACCTGGTTGTAGTGGTTCATTTGTGTTTCTGTTTTATCAAGAGAGCTTCTTTTGCTAATGGTGTACTATTCAGAACATAAAGCAAGATTTTCATTCTTAGTACCATGAGCAAAAGCTTCATTACAGGCACTCATTAAAATGCCCTTGAGCGTTTTCTCACATTTAAAAATGTTTCCTTGGTGATCATTCTTTCAGGGAGCCTTTATTATTACTATTCTTATTATTCAACATCTTGTGGCAGGGTTAGTTGAAAGTCATTCTCCCCCACCCATGTCTTTCATGTAGAAAGCCATTTTCAGGAGGCTGGCTTTTACTTGCATCCTGCTTAAGAAAACGCTGTTACTTATTTTAAAATAAATGAAAGATGTTCCTTTTTTGAAGCAGAATATATTGTGCATGAATCTTCTAATCTTGGTTGATCTGTCACAGGGATGATATAGCAGACTTGGAAGAAGCCAAAAAATTATTAAGGGAAGCAGTTGTTCTTCCAATGTGGATGCCGGATTTTTTCAAGGGGATCAGGCGACCTTGGAAGGTGAGAACCATCAAACTATTTTATTCATGTCTATGCAGTTGTAAGTACAAAAGATGTGTATATGCGTAATACTGCATTGTGTATTTAGACGTTTCCTCCTATAATTGGCTGCCCAAAATTGCAGGGCTGCATGTTAAATCTGATCATTTGTATTGGTTTACAAACAGTTAATCTGGTTATTGGGTGTTTTGAGATGCTGCTGTTGTCACTGGCAGATGACCTCATTTTATTTGGGAGTCACAACTGTGGACACAGTTGAAACTTTGGGGATATTTGAGGCTTAGTTCTTTTTATGTGGATCAGGTTCAGTCACTCCAGATGCATCCGTCCCTGCCAAGCTTTTGGAGAAGGATGGGATGTTTTGGATGGATTTGTTTATTTATTTAACTTTTTGGTCACTTGTTACCCGAAGGTCTCAAAGAGAATTACAATAAAGAAAATATATATACAAATACATAGTAACAAAGGGAAAAGGAGGGGTTTTGAGACATATTCCCCCATTGTACCATTTTGTGTATTGCTTTTTATGTTGTTGTCATTTTAATTAGGGTTGTATTTGTCTAATTTCTGTGTGCTGCCCTGTGACCATAAGGCAAGGGTGGCATATAAATATTCCTGGATTTCTGCTGATCTCATTTTCCATTTGGATATTATGATATAGCTTATTGTTTTGATCAACAATCACACATTAGAAACCAATGTGGAAATTGCAGCCTGTAGATCCTGATAGACCTTTCTTCTGCCATGTATAATAATAATAATAATAATAATAATAATAATAATAATAATAATACCATGATCAAAGGACCTAACAGGTGTTTGGGAAACGGAAAAGTGCAGAATGTTTGCTAAGCAATAAATGCAGACGCTGGGAAAAATATGGAATGATGCGCGCGCTCTCTCTCCATACATACATACATACATACTTGCATAATTTTGTTTCTATGCCACCTTTCCACAGTTCAAACCATGCTCAAGGCTTACAACATGAAAAAATACAAAACTGCAACTTAACAAAAGTAGTCAATAAATGAAGCATTAAAAATACACAACCAAACGGAACAATTTCCACGTATCTCACAAGATCTAAAATAAAGATACAAAAAACCACAGCATCAACAATCTCCTCATCCCCTGGAACAACACCCCAACCCAAGTGTCTGTTCAGCAGCCTCAACTTTTGTAGCTTCAGTCAGTTAGGGCCCTGCAGGCCAGGTGGTGAAAGGCCTGCAAGGCAGGGAACAGTTCTTCCAAGACAGTCAGTATGGTCTATTCTCCTCCATCCCCTCTTGACCTTTGTTTGCATTATGGAGGGTGATTTTTCACCGTTATTGGCCGAAATAAGCAGCATTTGGTGTCAGTCATTCTGAGTAATAACTTGGATAGCAACCAGCCAGCTCTTGTGTGCTCAGGCTCTCTCGAGAACAATTCTCAGGACAGCTGCTTTTATTTCCAAAGTAGGCCCTCTGTATGAAACAGACAGCTATGGGTAGATATATTTGTGTGGACATCAGAGAGGTTCCGGTTTTGCTTCCTTTGAACTGTACTTGGAGCTAAGAAGGGCCAGGCGCCAGTTGTGCTTCCCACTGTTCAACTAGCAATGGTTACAACAGCAAGGCAAACCCCGCTGTGCTCCCATCAAAACACCCACCCCTTGCAGCGCACTTGAGCATATGTGGAAAATTCCAAGATTTGACTGAGCCAGAAAGAAAAGATAAGTTTTGTGTAAAGGATTTTAACTAGCCATTCATTGCTGGAATCTAATTCTCATAAAGAAACATAGCAAGGCGTTTCATAAATTCACTTTGTGCAACTGCTGAGCTTTGAAAAAGAGGCCAACTGTGTGGAATGGAATACAGTGCAGATTAGCATCTGGGTTCCTATAAAGCAGAGAATGGGAATCTATGGCTCCCCAGATGAAAATAGATTCCCATTAGCCAACAGCAGGTATGGCCAGAAATGATTGGAGTTGTGGTGCAGTGACATCAGGGTGGGGCAGAGTTTCTCCTGCTATATAGGTATGAGTTTAAAGAGTCAAAACATGATTGGATCTCATAGCACTTTCACTTTAATTTATCTAGGGTTGTTTATGTCTTTATGACTACTACAACCACCATGAAAAAATATCCTAAATGGTCTCTTATTTATTTATTAAATAAGAAGAGGGGGAGGAAGTGTTCCATTGTGCAAGCAGAAATTCTTGCACTCGTGGAAGCACTTCATCAGATACTGCCCCATTTTTGTTCTTCCGTACTTTCTGGTGGGTTTTTTAATCTATCTGTGTTTGTTTTCTTTTTTGCCTTTGTTTCTAAAGAGAGTATTTAATTTTTTTCAAAAACGAAATATATTTTTTTGTGTGTCGATCAGAGCCCATTTCATTACTATGGCCAAGTATTTAACGATATTACAAAATACTATTTTATCTTCTGCAGCTTTTACCTTTGATTTCAGGAGAATGTCTGCAGCCATAGAAATGCCATTTAAATACCAGCTGTATAGAAATAATATGAACACTTGTGATTTAATTACCCATAAACGTACATTGGAGCCTACATTAGGAGAGTTCTTAAATGGCTATAGAGGTAGTGAGAGTTAATGGAAAATCTAGACACAGTGAGTCCATTATGCCCAAAGAATCGGGGAGGGGAAAACAATTTTGAATAATTGCATTTTCGGTTGATTTGTTTTTATAAGTCTTCTCCATGCCATTCTTTCAAAGTAATCTCCACCCCACTCTGAGGAGCAGGCAATTTTTAATTTGCAGAGTGGATAGCTTTTAACCAGTTATTTTATTGTGGTGGTGTTTTATGTAAGATATTAATTGCATAAAGTCTATTGTGATGTGCAATTCTAATTTCGGCTAATTTTATTACCCTGAAAAAAAGAAATTCTTGTTAGAATTTAATCTGATCTTAGGTTTGCAGGGGAATGAAATATGTGCAGTAACAGCAGAGTGTCTGATGAGAGAGCATGGTGGCAACTGCTCTCCTTAAATTATTGCTATGCATTTCTGATGGTGAAAATCCTCTGCAGTAAGACCCTAGCCTTTCCCAGTGATGGCTAAGTTCTAGCTCCTAAGCTCTTCGGGGGCTCTTTAAAAGATCTGAACATTGTCAACAGTTCAACAATGTAAGTAGGAGAAAAGGGGGCGGGGACCCGCATGTGAACAAGGTTGACATTCTTCCCACCTTTCTAATTCCCATCTTCCCAGCAGATGAAGGATTAGTTTGGTAGGACAGGATAGTGAAACCTTGAGAATCAAAGGGGAGGGTTAGGTAGGGGCAAATTTTTAGCTTCAGGCTAACTTGGGTAGGGTGAAGAAGAAGCGAAGTGGGGTTAGGGTTTTAGAAAGGAAGGACATGGTGGCAGTTGAGACTATTATCCAGTAGCTCTTTGAGATATATAATTTTAAAGTACAGCTCTGGGTCCTCATCATCCAAAGTTGAACAAGCTTTAATATCTGTCTTCTTTCAGAGTACTTTTAAGTTGATATTTCTACTGTTAGATAAGCTCTGTCCCTGAATACAGAGTTTGTGAAACACAGACGCTTACTAGTTTATCAGAACGGCTTCTATTCCCCCTGCTCCTGTCTGTCAGTTGAAACACTTTGGATATTCTTTTTTACTTTGTACTATGCTGATATACAGTGGTACCTCGGGTTACAGACGCTTCAGGTTACAGACTCAGTATCTTGGCTAACCCAGTATCTTGGGTTAAGAACTTTACCTCAGGATGAGAACAGAAATTGTGTGGTGGCGGTGCAGCAGCAGTGGGAGGCCCCATTGGTTAAAGTGGTACCTCAGGTTAAGAACAGTTTCAGGTTAAGAACGGACCTCCAGAACGAATTGAGTTCTTAACCCGAGGTACCACTGTATTCCTTTCAACTTTCATTGCACACTAAGAGGTGACTTGTATTTTCTTTAGGTGTGCAGTATCTTCCTGCAGAAGTGCTTGAAAATATTGGATGGTTTGAACGATGGTTCCAGGCTTCATAAACCATAATGTGATCCTGACTTATTTTCCTGGTTTATTAACCAACATTAAGCCAGACTTCCTGGTTCAAGTGCAATGGGGAACTCTGGCTTAATACAAGCCAGAAGCTGGTGCATGATGGGATTGAGGGGAGGAGCGCTTGGCCCTGATGCTTATCTCTGGCTTCATAAACCGTGGAATGATTGTCCAAAGCAGGCAATTGCATCTGTGCATAGGATTTATAAGAAGAAACATTGTTTTGCCCCAAACACTTAGCAGAAGCTAAATCGTGTGCATGCTGATGGGTGCTTGTGAGCTTTGCTGGTCAGGACGCAGGAGAAACAACATGCGGGATATTCAGGAAGCCAATTCAGATTGCATGCGTGCTTGATGAAGCCCTAATTTTTAAAGCAGGGGGGGCCTTTGTGTTGTAGAAAGGTCACCTGATTTATATATTTATTAAATTTGATAGTTGCTTTATCTTACCAGGACAACCCAAAGCAACATAAAACCAACCAAACAGACTGAGAAAAAAACCTCACAGAGATACTTTAAAATCAAAAAGAAAAAGAATTACATTAGAAACACCCTGCCCACTTCTAAAAGGCCACAGATAATTAAATGCCAAAAGCCTGGTTATAGAGGAAAGATTTTGCCTGGCACCTAAATATATATATATCATGATGATACCAGGCAAGTCTTTCTGGCAGGGGTCAGCAACCTTTTCCAGCAGTGGACCGGTCCACCGTCCCTCAGACCATGTGGTGGGCCAGACTATATTTTGAAGAAGAAAAAAAGAACAAATTCCTATACCCCACAAATAACCCAGAGATGCATTTTAAATAAAAGGACACATTCTACTCATGTAAAAACACGCTGATTCCTGGACCGTCCACAGGCTGGATTGAGAAGGCGATTGGGCCGCATCTGCCCCACGGGCCTTAGGTTGCCTACCCCTTCTCTCTGGGGAGAGCATTCCACAAATGAGGAAGCACGGCAAAAAAAGGCCTGTTCTTGTGTTGTTGCCCTCCAGACCTCTTGTGGAGGAGGCACATGAAGAAGGGCCTCAGATGCTGGTTGCAGGGTTCAGGTTGGTTTGTATGGGGCGAGGCGGTATTGAATCTGAGTTTATGGCGGGTTGTTCATTGTACACAGTCATCTATTAATTTCAGTGTAAGGTGTTTTCTCCATAAAGTAGCAAACTTAATTTGGGGTGGGAGGGGAACCTGCCACAGTGGTATTTATTATCATTATTTATTAAATTTATATACCACCCTTCATCCGAAGATCACAGAGCAGTTTACAGAATAAAAACACAAAAGGAAAACACAAAATACATAACAACAAAAACCAACAATCCCTTCTCACAAACACATTTAAAAGGTGATAGATAGTTTAATCAGCCAAAAGTCTGATTAGAAAGTTACTACATCCCACAGATTAGAGCCAAATACATTCTGCTGGCGCCTGGATCTTGGCACTTTTCTGATCTGTGCTGCTGAAAGGGAAAAGCCTCCAGGTAAACTCAACCTGTGGAAGCTGGAAGAGCAGGTTGTTCCCATTCTCTCTTCCGCAGTCTCTCATTAGTGCCTACAAACTCCTCTTCCTTTCCTGGACACCCTGCCAAGAAAAAAACAGTGTTGGTTCAAAATGTATTGCTCTGGAGAGCCCACTAGGGTGAGTGTTTTGCTGAGATGCACTTATCTGCTGGGACCCTGACCCTTGGATCACAACTAGCACACTGCTTGCTCATTGTAAACTGATGTGCACCATCTTAGTATACCTCCAATTTTAAAAAAACAACAACCCATGTCTTATCATTTTATCCTGCGGCAAGACTTCTAGGCTCAATTTAGCTCAATATTTCTACAATAGTAACTACAAAAGGGTTGAACTATAGGAGATACTCTCTAATCTTCTGTTGCCTTTCAGGTGTCAAGTAGCAGTCAGCTTTGCATTAATGAAATCAATTACGGTTTTTATGAATCAACAGCAGCAGATTATCGTAATAGCACAACTGGCTTTGACAATGCTAGACTGTGTTTAGACAAGTTCATTTAATTTTATTATTCTGCACCGTTGTGCACTTGTACACGCTTGTGCTTATTCAATTGCCCTCATTTAATTTTAGGGAGTGTTGATGGTTGGCCCTCCCGGGACTGGTAAAACTATGCTAGCGAAGGCTGTTGCTACAGAATGTGGAACGACTTTCTTCAACGTTTCTTCTTCCACTCTGACATCAAAGTATCGAGGCGAGTCTGAAAAGTTAGTTCGCTTGTTGTTTGAAATGGTAAGCATTACTGATGCTCAAGTCTCACAGTTTCTTGTTGTTATAGTGGGCATCTAAGTCACTCCAGCACATTGGATAGTATCCAACTCAGTTTTATTCCTAGCAGACCAATTGAAATGAATGAACCTAAGTTTGTTGTGCCCATTGATTTCAATGGGTGTACTTAGAAGTCCTAGAACTATCATTACTAATTGGGGTAAGGCTTCTCAGCCACATTTGCCAACCATGTTATACCAACCAGCAACATTGTGCTACAAAGTGTCTGTAATATCCCCAGGTTTTAGAAAATGACTCATTATGTGTGTGTTGTTTACCTGTAGTATGAAATCTTTCACAGCTTCCTTTAATGTTTTGCATTTATCAGAGTCAAGGCCTGATATTTCTTTAACTTTCTGCCTTTTGAGGTTGGTTTTTGTTTTCTTTTTGTTTCTTATTCGAAATGTTTACTTCTTTCTATTTCATCTTTTGCATTTCCCCCTTTCATTTTCGTAGCACTTGTAGTGTGCAGAATGCTTTCTAAACAGCATGTTACTCATCTTTACACAATTCTTGCGAGGTAGGCTGCTTTGATACCTGCTTTACAAAAGAGGCTCGATGATTAACATGCATATGTAAAATATAATGATTCAATCACCACGGCCCCATAACAAAAGGAAATTGTTTTTGTCTTCTGCGCCTTAGAACGTTGTGACAGAGCTATGTCACACATCTGACTGATTCACGGTTTGCAATATTTTAGAAATGACTCCAACAGTAACTAGAACTTACGTTGCAGACACACAAACAGGGCCAAATCTTTCAAGTTTTATAAGGTGCCACAATACTTTAATTTTTTTCAATAGATTTGCAATAATAATAATGATGATGATGAAAAATTGAGTGGTTTTTTGTACATGTACCATTTTTATGTCCATTCCCCCCTTCTCTCTCTCTCTCTCTCTCTCTCTCTCTCTCTCACACACACACACACACACACACACACAGACGTAACAGTTGGCCAACATCACAGTAGTGATCTCTACATCTGCTCTGCTGAAACTTTCCTACCAACAATGCAGCCCTATGTCTTTTGTGCTGACAATTAAAAAACAAGCAAGTGTCTAAGCACCTGGAATATTAATAAACATTCAGTAGCACCTTAACAGCTGAGCCAGTGGCTAGGGAGGGCTCATTTACTCCACTGAAGCCAGAGCCCTCATAATATATAATAGGGGCATCTACTTTGGTGTCCTCCAGATGTTGTGGGACTCCAACTCCCAGTCGCGCTGTTCAGCATGGGCAGTGGTCCTATAACATTTGGAGGACACCATGTTGGCCACCTGCTGTCTATAGCTACAAAATGTTAAGAAAACTGCTAACCTAACATTTCCCCCTCTTGTTGATTCCCTCCCCCTCTTGTTTTTGGAGATAAATTGACAAAAACTTGATTTTTCTATATCTGTGTGATTTAATCAGATATATTATTTGCCTTTCTGCAATCATGCAAGTGGTTCTAAAAGAATATCCCAAACCAGCTTTGATTTAGCATTAGATACATAGATGCTGCTCCTAAGGCAGATGTTGTAAGGTAAGCTGGACAGCACATCTTTGTCAAAGGGGCATAGTCAACCAAGCTTTGCTCAGAGTAGACTCAATGAAATGAATGAACATCACTTAAGGTACATCTTTTATATGATGGAATCTCACAAAAACTGAAATGTTGTGTTTAGTAAATGTTTTCTTTGTTTCAAGGCCCGATTTTATGCACCCACAACCATTTTCATTGATGAAATAGACTCCATTTGTAGCCGCAGAGGTACCTCTGATGAACATGAGGCAAGCCGTCGGGTCAAATCTGAGTTGCTTGTTCAGATGGATGGTAAAGTTTGATATCTGCACTGGAGCTTCCCTTCCCTTTTTATAAATTGTTTGTACGCTTGTTTTGGAGAATGCATGCAGCAAGTTAAAAAGCAGCATATTTACCAACTTGTCCTGAACTGTTCTCGTTTTAAGCTGTCCACCTTTTGCTGACGTAAGTATTCTGGGCATGGTCAGAGGACACATGATGCAGCCACCTTGCTGAAGCTAAGCTGTTCTGGGTCTGCCTGGGGGACCACGAAAGCTGCTTGGAATTCTATCACAGAAGAAATGTGAAATGTAAATGTAATATAAACGAAGAGCATGGCATAATTACTCAAGTTTTATGTTCATTTTTCTTTACAAAGACCACTTAAAATGCATTTTCCCAATTAAGTGGCAAATTATATATATATATATATATATATATATATATATATATGTAAAAAGTTTTATATACTCTTCTTAAGACTGTTCCCAGGGTACTTAATAAAGATGAATAAATATAAGAATAAAAAATAATATATTACAATACACAAGACATGGGAAATAATAACCATTTTTAATAATAATAATAATAATAACCATTTTTTTGTTTTGTTTTATAGTAATTAGCAGCCCTGCGTAGCTGCTTTGAAAGCTGGTAAAGAATTGCTAGGGGAAATTAACCCTTCTGTCCACCCCATTTCCTGGCCATCTAAATGCCTACTTACCCTCCAGTGCTGTTTGGATGTGTTTTCCTGAGCATCATCAGTTTCCTTCTGTGGACTGGGTTACCTTGTTGTGCTTTGTGGAAGCAAATACAGTGGAACCTCGGTTGTTAAACGTCTCTGTTGACTGACATTTCGGCTTTCGAACTCCAAAAACCCGGAAGTAACTGCTTCAGTTTTTGAATGATTTTTGGAAGCCGAACGTGCCACACGGCTTCCGTTTTGGGTTTCCCTATTATATTGAGGCTACTGTTTTTAGTTTTCGGTTTTCAGACATTTCGGAAGTCAAATGGTCTTCCAGAATGGATTACTTTCAAAAACTGAGGTTCCACTGAACAGGGTTTGGTATTGGGCCTCGTACACTGCCTCTGTTCTGTACTCATCATATTATGCCTAGGCAAGTGCCCCCCCCCCCAGTCACTTGTGTTATGGTGCTGCCCACAATAGGTTCTTAGATTTCTCTGTGCACCCCTGGGCTGCAAAAAGTTTGGGGCCTTAACCTCTTCATTTCATGGTTTTAGGCTGGTGTTCTTTAGTTGAGGAGGATTTAGTGGCTCCCCTGTGTAATGTATTCTGAGCTGGAATCTCTGCTTAGCTTTTGTTGCACTAGTTTTATAGGATCTCTGTGTTATATAAACTAGCTTTATTGGAACTGTGATTTTAATTGTTTGGTTGTTTTGTTTCTTTGAAGAATAGGATAAGCTCAGCTCTTGGATGTCTGAAAATCTAATAAATAATAGAAATAGTACCCTGTTGTCTGCTATGTCTTTTGTTGATGTAGGAGTAGGCGGGGCTCTGGAAAACGACGACCCTTCGAGAATGGTGCTGGTGCTGGCTGCTACAAATTTTCCCTGGGACATTGACGAAGCTTTGAGAAGGAGGCTGGAGAAAAGGATCTATATACCATTGCCAACAGGTGGGAGGGCCATAATCTTTTCTGTCCAGATGCACTTTTCTTACATTTTGCTATTTGAAGAATTCATTTGACACTTCAGCTGCAAACATTTGGTTGCATTTTCAGCAGCTAATAACTTGCCAGTGCTCTCTCCCTCCCTCCCTTTCCCCTTAAGGGTTGAGACTGGAGAATGAAAGGGTTGCAGTATTCCATTGCAGACCCGGTGAGAGAGATGGTAATGAGCTTGGACTTATTTTGAATGTTTAACAGTCCTTGATTGAGCATCAAAGGCCGCCTTCAGACATCCTTTAAAGAAATATTGCCAGTGCATTTCCATGCACTCGCCGATTAATGCAGAGAAGCGGATCCATGAATTTTCACTCTCAGGCTGGCGCTGCTGTAAATCAACTCTCGCCTGACCTTTACGACTAGATTTCCAGCCGTTCAGATCGTAGCACGCTGATTGTTCCCCTGCCTGAGGATGCCATATCATATATTGCTTCTCCTTGGCTGTCAGTCATATACGCTATTATTTTCAAGATCCTTTATCATTTTAGCTTTATAAAGTGGCATCTTCTCTTCATACACTGGGATGCCTGCTTGCCTCCATGACCCCTCGAGATAACAGAATAGAAGTACAGTGTGGCTGTAAACTCTTAAGGGTTGAAACAACATATTGGAGCACAGCATGGGGCTACTGGCAATAATAGCATCTCTAGCATACATTCTTCCCCTCTCCCCTTGTAAGGTTGACTTAATATATATCATGATGACATTGGTGTGAGTTTCCCTACTCCACACCTTCGGTTTCTGCTGGTAGGATGGGAGAATCACCACCGTGTGATGTCTTGATACATGAGAAGCGATCCAAAAGGTTACAGAGAAGAGGGGAAATGCTTAACCTAGAGATTTAGTTTTGCTGTGTCAACTTCATGTTATATGTAATGTGTGGTGTCTAGAGTGTTGGACTGTCATCAGGGAGTCTCTGGTTCACATCCTCACATAGCCATGAATTCACCTGGTGAGCTTGGACCAGTCACCCTCTTGGCTTTGCTTTACAAGGCTGTTGTCAGAATAAAATAGCTGACAATGGTTGGGGGAGAACCATGCATGCTACCTTGAGCTCGTTGGAGAAAAGACTGACTACACACATTCAATAAATACTAATAGTTCCAGCTTATAATGGGAGCCCTGACTTTATGGCTGATTGGGGTATTACATATGATTTAAATTGCCTTGCAGATCTCTATCATGTTATCGATCTAAACTTCCCCCTTATTGCTAATGCAAAAGAGAAGATGAAAGGCAGACATTTGTTTGCATTTATGGTTTTAATCATTTGAAGCCATAATTGCTTTCAGCCCTATTGGCGGGGCGGGGGAAGTACCTCATCTGAAGTTCTACCACGTTATTGGTTCTGGCTTCTATCTGTGCAGTGCAGAATGGGCACCTTGCTAAGGTGTGTCCTCTTCTCCACAAGGATACAGTGCCCCTTCCAGATTGCCACTATTTTGTGAGTGGGATTCAGTCACACCCGCAAATTTAGGTTGTGCAGTTAAAGTGGGTTTGGCTCTCTTGCATAATGAACACACTTTTAAAAATAAGACTTTTTGTAGGAAAGTAATTGATGAAAAATTGCACTGAAAAGTGTAGGATAACAACGGCTTGATCTGACATCTTATAGCATCCCCACCTTTTGCAAACAGATCATGAAGAATGTTCAATAAACAGGTCATCTGGAAGAGACTAGTGTTGGGAAAAACATGGAAAAATAATTTCCATTGTTGCTGTTTTAGGTACTCTTAGGTACAAAGTTACCCATGGTGAGACATGCATGCAGAATCTTATTAAAAGATCAGTTACGATTCTGTGTTTTTTGAGGCCACTATTTTTAACTGTCAACACAGTACAGAACTCCCAGCTACAATGTGTACATGGAATGTTTTTATACCAGTACACTATAGCTTGCCAAAGGCACATTGTGATGGATGGCAAGCTTGTGTATTTTATGTTTTTGATGTTTATACTATGCCATCAGTGTTCATTGTGCCTTACAGCACCATATGGGCAAATTGGGCATCTCTCTGCTCAGAAAGAGCTTGCACTCGGAAACTAACAACGAGGGGAAAGGGAAAGGAGAGAAGAATGTGGGCAAAGGCCAATGCATGTACTTAATTAAATTAAATTAAAAAGAAACATTGTTCAGCTGAAACCCCTGGGTCACTTATATCACCAGGCCAATCATTTTCATTATCTAAAACTTGTTCAGGGGTCCCTCCTCAGCAGCTGGGGCAAACACTCTTTAATAGGGAGGGTCTTAAATTCAGAAACTGAAGATAATACAACAAAATCTATTGGACAGAGGGAAAGGAGGGATCTCTGTGTGTTTGACAGGGGAGAGGGAAGGAATCCACCCATCCTTATTTAGAGTGTATCCCTTCCACTTGGCTTCCCCCATTGTGTAACCACTTCCCTTTTCTCATAATTAAAATGATCCTTCCCTTCCTATTTTTCTGTTTGTTTAAAAAGAAAGTGAAAAAGGATCAACCTGGTTTAACAGTAACTTAATACCTTAACCAAATAATTCATTTAATGCCGATTGCTTTAACAAATGCTGTTAGCTAAATAGGACTAACATTTAGGGTGTTTTCTGCTGAGTTGTCTCTTTCTACAGCTTCTTATTGTCCTGTTGTCTTGTAGACCAATAGAACAATGTGTTTCCATGGTCTCCTGTGAGATGCTCAGTGCAACACCAAGTTTGCACTTAGCATCACACTTTTCATGTTGGCAAGGCATGGGCCAAGGTGCTGCCTTAGGTGGCCTTGCCCTTTCATACCTGGGGGAAGAAGGGGGGTCAGCAGGGGGTGGGGGAGAGGGCCCAACAAAACTTCAGTCTCCAGCAACTCCCCCCAAACTACGCTAAAGTTTGGTTTCAGCTAGGCATTAGCAAAGGCTGCACAGAAAAGGTGGTTTTGAGAAATCGTTGACACTTGATACAAGGTTTGCTGAAAAAACTTGGGTAGGATAGGGTAGAGAGTGCATGTTTATGGATGTATGCATATCTATGGATGTTTTCATAGTTAATGGCAAAATGGCTATTGGAAATTGTGCACTCTCTCTCTCTCTGTCTGTGTGTACACACACACTCTGCTTCATACAGAATTCACTAAAATTATATAATTGATTCTCTTTTAAAATGCACTTTTTGCAGTTAATACAGTGGCAGTGTCTTTAACATTCAAGAGTCGTCACCAGCGAAATTGCTTCCAGGCTGCTTTTGCCTGGTCACCCCCCGCCATAAAACCAAATTATAGGGTTAAGTGTTATTGAATATCTACATGTTTGCAAGCCCTGCTCTGATCAAACAACTTTTATTTTTGCAGCAAAAGGCCGAGCAGAGCTGCTTAAGATTAATCTTCGGGAAGTAGAACTGGATCCTGACATCAGCCTGGAAGAAATTGCTGAGAAGATCGAAGGCTACTCTGGTGCTGACATCACTAATGTTTGCAGGTATCCTATTTCCTGGGTTTGCAAGCTAAAGAAAAATGGAATTGCTAGGCAAACTACACATACTGAATGCTTTTTTGAGTACATTGCTGACGACTCAATCTTTTGCCTTTACGTCAGTGCTTTTAAAATTCTCCTTCCCTGGAAACCCTTTCTGCATCAAATAGTTTGCTGAGGAACCAGCACGAAGCCCAGAGTGTTGCATAAGATCTTGGAACCGTTTGGCGGGCCATACACTCAGTTCACACAGAAGGCAGATTAGGTTTCTTAGGTCTTACTGTTGTTCCTTGTGAACTGATAACCCGAAAAGATATGTATTGCAGGGGAAGCTTGTTTGCCACTATGGATCTTCTCATTGAAGGACCCTTAATAGGTGTCTGAGGAATGTAAGTTTCTCCTAGCACTAGAACTCAGGGTATTTCCAATGATCAAGGGAATGGACCAACCAGTGGCGTCACAATGGGGGGGCGGGGCGGTAAACCCCGGGTTCCATGCCTGTGGGGGTGACAAGAAGTCACCCTGCGGGGGCTCGTGGCAGCACGAGCAGCTGTCGCGCCACCACAGCCGCTTTTGGAGGATCCTCCATTCATGGCTGGAGCCGCGAGCAAAGGATCCTGGCACTGGCAGCAAACCACTAAGTACAGCGCATGTGCAGCGTCGCATGCATATGCGCTGTACGTAGCAACGCTGCACATGCACTGTATAGCTGCTTGCCGCCAGCGGCATACGGATGGTGCTGGGATCCTCCGTTCGCGACTAGCGGTGCCAGAGGGATCCTGGCACCGTCCATACGGCGCTGGCAGCAAACCGCTATACAATGCATGCATCGCTACGTACGGCGCATGCGTTGTACGTAGCGATGCCGCACATGCGCCCTACATCATGACGCCTGCCCCGGGTGTCACGACTCCTTCCTTTGCCCCTGGGAGCAACTCCCCTGTAAGGGTTGCAGCATTGGGGGCTTTTTAGTTTAGAGAAAAGACAAGTAACAGGTGACATGATGGAAGTTAATAAAATTACACATGGCATGGAGGAAGCCGGTAGAGAAAAGGTTTTCTCCCTCTCATAACACTAGCACTCATGGACATTCAATAAAGCTGGATGCTGGGAGATTTGGCACATGCAAAAGAGTAGTTCATGAACTGAACAATTGCCTCAGCATCTCCATAAATCCTTGCAAAAAGGGGCGGGTGGGTCCTTTTTATCGTTTTAATTATCCTCTGCACATTTACCAGATGCCTTAGTGGATTTCCGTTCCAAAGTGTTGCTTTATGTTACATTAATGTTGGGGGTGTTGGAGATGTGCAAGCTTGTTTCGCCACAGGGGAACGCTGAGATAGCTAAGAATAAATGCTTCTGCATTTCTGCTAGAGGCCTGCAACACAAGAGAGGTAATCAAAATCCATATAGTTCCTAGCACACGGTGTTAGTAATTAGTTCTTGCGAATTTTCCTTTGCAGGGATGCTTCTTTGATGGCAATGAGGCGGCGCATTAATGGCTTATCCCCAGAAGAGATCCGTGCGTTATCTAAAGAAGAGCTTCAGATGCCTGTTACCAAGGGAGACTTTGACCTGGCTCTGAAGAAAATCTCCAAGTCTGTTTCAGCGGCAGACCTGGAGAAATATGAGAAGTGGATGTCAGAATTTGGATCTGCTTAACAGACATCATCTCACAAAGGATTTTAGCTTTTCAGTTATAAAATATTACAAAGACTTAGAAATCTTTTAAGGCTTGAGTTTTTCCTACGGACAAGGACCCTTTTAAACTTTTTTTGCACTTTAAAGGGAACAAAATAAAATGTTACACAATGAAATCATGGTATTTCATGGATGAATACTAAAAGCTGTAAATGTAGCAAGGGAATCCTATGTGTTTTTGGTTGTCTGCACTTTTTTTTAACACTAGGTCCCAGTGTCCCGATTTTCACGTTGTAGTCTTTCCTGGCTTTTATCTGCCAATCAGATATAGGACTCTGCAGGAAAAAGTTGACAAAACTTACTGTTCTGTACTCTTGTTGTTGGGTCATATTGTCTGTCTAGTTAGAACCTGATTCCTTGAACGTAGGACTGGCATTTTTATTCTATGCCTCTCCCCCTCTGTTTAGAGAGCTCATCAGTATGATCTAAGTTGAAAATACCGAGATCTCTTTACACTGCAGTCACGTTGTCATGGCTACAGTCGTATTTGCTAGAACACTAATAATCATATAAAATGTGAAAGGGAGGTGCATACCTCCAAAATATACAGTGTGGCCAGTTACAGCTCTTTGCCATCTTTTGCTCCCAGCTCTGAAGAAATGCACATGTACTTTTCTCTCCTCTTGTGTTCGCTGCAGCCGGCACCAGGGGAAGTGCAGTGAATGCAATCGCTGCTTAAAGCGTGGAGCAGCCCGTCATAGAAATCATGTTGTATCACAACCTTGATGTTTGAAATCTCAGGGCCAATATTGCTCTTGTTTCAGTTTTACACTTGTGTCAATCTATGGATTTTGCTGGATCTACTGCTGTCTTTGATTTCTCATTGTATACCACTGTAAGCAAAAGTTTCTTGATATACTTTGGCCTGGTAAGGGCAGATAAATTCCAGATGTTATAGTGGCTTAACTCTCCAGAGTAGGTCATGTTAAATGAGTGTACATCTTGCACTTCTTCATGCTTTAGACCAGCCTTTTTCTAATTGGCTTTGTTAGTGCCATTTGCACCTTTGCAGTATAAGATACCAAGGTGGAACACTTGTGGAAACTAAACTTGAAGATATAGAGCCGTCATCCTTGATACCCAGGAATAATCTCTCCTCCTCCCCCACCCCACCCTTATTTCTGGTGCTTTCTAGCATTTACACTTACTTTTGCATATTTCAGCTGTTTTTTCAGATATGACAAATTGGTTCTCATCTCTGCATAATATTACCAAGGGTCCACGGACATGAAAAGAGGCACACAACAGTGGCTTGTTCTTTGGGACCCTTCAAAAATAATGTATAGCTCACTTCTTGAACTTGTTTTGGGTGTAAGTGTGTGGAACTCGTTATCAAAAGTTATGTATTTGGAGATGAATGTTTATGATCAGAACTGCAATTGAATCTGGCTGTAGCAGAGTTACATGAATCACCTAAACCTAAGGCAAGGTTTCCAGTTTAGAAAACAAAACAAAACAAAACAGGAATGTCATGTAAATCGGTCTTAGACATCTTGAAATGATCAATAGGCATTTCCAAGCCACCTGTTCATTTGGCAACTCATCCAAAATAATTTGCATTTCTGCTGTGCTTGGAAATTTCCCTCCATTCCTTATCCCCGTACATCTCCTAAATTTGCTCTAGATTAAGGTAGGGGAAAAAACCCAGAACAGATTTAGGGGTCACACAGAGAAGTTCTATGGTGTAGATAAGAGTTCTTGCACTGGCAGAACTGTTCAGTTGGATATTGCTCTCTGACACCAGTGAGTCACCTGGGAGTAGAGCTACTCCCTGTATAGATCTCTACTGGTCTTGCCACCACCAGCCATGTTAGACCAAGGACAAGTATGTTCTATGCTGTGTGGGTGGCACAGTAAAAAAGAAAGAATGGTCAAGACATTGTATTACCTGGTGTCTTTTCCTGGAGGTGTCTTTCCCCCAGTTCAGTACTGCAGTGCTTTAAATCAGCTATCAGAAAAACTTCTGTCTAGGCCCGGCCTTAGTTTAGTTTCCACCTAGATCTCCAAGTTACTGACACAACATCTCAGGGAGCTTTTCCTTATAAGGGCTCCCTGCGTTGTTACTTATTCGTTGTAATAGCCACCTCGTCAGCATAGCACTTGCTAGACATGTCCAGAACTACAGATGTGACTTGGTTCCATAAGAGAAGCAAGAGTGTTTACGTAGCAGAGTCCCATCATACCATATGCAGCCAGCTATAAAGGTTGTGTTGTGTTTCTTTACTTTGTTTTAACATAGAAGATGATGTATTGGGTCAAGACTGTGAATGATGCACTGTGTTCATCTCCAACAAAAGGCAGCTCTACTTTGGGGAAAATAATAATAAATGTCCTAATGGTGACTCGCTTTTTTCTTTTTATGTGGTGCTGTGTGTACATATTCTGTTGTTTTCCTGGTGTGGCTGAGTTGGATTTCCTGCTTTGGGAGCGTAAGAGGAGCACAACATCTCGTGGAGCTTTTGCCAGCATTATCTCCAGTCGTTCTTCTTGCTGTCTCCCTTTGGGAAGGTAGCTGGCAACATCATCAAAGTACTTAAGGAATGAAAGGGCTGTCATGGAAAAGGCAACACTCTCTTGGGACCCACCACTTTCCCTCTCGCAGTAGGAGCTGTCTGATTCATGCCGGTAGCAATTTGTGTACTTTGGAAATGGCAGAACTTGGTGAATATAAATGCAGGCTGGTTTTGATCCTGTTGTATTCTGGTGTCGATTTGTGTGCACAAATAGGATGGAATATGTTGGACATTGCAAAGATATGGCTACCTGTGACTAGGTTTAATAGAATGTATTTGTGAATAAGTTAAAAGGGGTGTGTGTATGGGGTGTTATGGGAGGGGTAGTACCTCTGGTGGGGGACATGTCATGCTCCTCCTGAGCTAGTTTGTCCGCCTTTGGTCTCCATCCTGCACTCAGCTCTCACCTGTGGCTCGTGGAAGCTGTCAACATGTGACAGTGGTCACACCCCGAGAAACAGCTTCAATTGGCCGGCTAAACAGGTGGGGGTATCTGATGGGTCTCAAATCCTTGGTGAGTTAGGAACTTCCCCTGCATGCAAAGACAGGCTCTGGTGGATTGAGCAGATGAGGCAAGTGGGTTCAGTGGTCAAGAAGGCAGTAGAGGGAAGTGAGGGGCAGATGAGTCTTACCAACTTGGGAAGGTAGCCCATCTAGGAGAAGGAAAACTCTGATCCTAAACTTCTGCTGCCTTGCAAAATATCTTTGGGAGAAGAAAAGGCTAAGGAGTAAATCCTACACAAATTTGGGGTGGAGTCTCTAAGATGGTTGGATGATGCCTTGTACACCTGCTGGCTGTTCCTGCAGCTAAGCTGGTGTCAAATGTCTTGCTCTGCATTCCTTTGGACCACATCAGCAAGGCCAAGAGGAGGGTCTTGTCATCTGGGCAACCCAGGACCTCCATACACACAGCCCAGGCTTGGGAGGGTACTGCTTTTGTAGATTTGGAAGATGACCCCAAGGGTCATCTAGTCCAACCCCCCTGCAATGCAGGATTTTTGGGGGAGGGCACACTTGTTCACTGGTCACATTCACACCATACATAAAAAATACATTACTCCCCCCCCAAAAAAAAAAACCTTGTGAACTGCAGCTTACCCATCACCAAACTACAATTCCTGGCATTCTTAACACACACTAGTTTTCAGGATTCTTGGGGGGATGACATGTGCTTGAAATATATGATGTGAGTAGGAACAGCAGTTTGACCATGGCGCGACTCCCCTGTGATGAAAAGTTCCTGTGTTTGGGGCGTTTTAATTTAGAGAAAAGGCATGTAAGAGGTGCCATGATCAAACTGTTCAAGGCATAGAGAAAGTGGATAGAGAAAAGTTTGTTTCCCTCCCAAGCACTAGATCTTGTGGACGATTCACAACAGATAAAACAATTTCTTCATGCAGTGCATAGTTAGTTGCTCCCACATGAGGCAGCAATAGCCACCGACTTGGATAGCTTTAAAGGAGGATTGGATAAATTCATGGAGGGGAGGGTTGTTGATGGCTACTAGCCAGGAAGGATATGTTAAGCCTCCACTGTTTGAAGAAGCAGTCCTTCTGAACTTTTGTTGCTGGACACCAAAGGAGGGGAGAGCACACTTGTGCTCAGATCCTGCCTGCTGGGTTCCCAGTGAGGACAAGACTAGATGGGCCTGATTTAGCAGGTGTCAGTCTGGTTGATGGACGATCAAAGTCCCGGCAGGGGACATCAGGACCGGGAGCAAGATGGCAGGGTGGGAGCAGGAACGGGGGTCCAGAAGCCAGGAGTCAGGAAGCCAAGAGTCTGAGGGTCAGACAGCTGGGAGGCACGAAGTTAGGGGTCCGAGGAGCAAGGAGTCAAGGGTCTGAGGATCAAGAAGCAGGGAGTCAAGAAGCTGAGGTTCAAGGATCAGGAAGCAAGAAGCCAAACGCAGCAAGGCAGGGAGCGTGTTGCTGTGGCAAAGAGCCAAAGGGAAATGCTGACCTTATATCCCTTCCCAGCTCTTGCCACCAGGTGCTGTGAGTTACCAATTGGCCTCAGCTGTGAGGCTGCGCCTTGCCTCTTCAGAACAAACTTAGGAAGGCCCCAGTCCTGCAAAGGCCTATTGGTCACAGGGCCTGGCTCCTGCACACTGCACACCTGACAGCAGGCACTCTGTTATTAATGGAACTCATTACTTAGAGGGGTGGTGAACTCTCCCTTGCTGGAGTTCTTCAAACAGAGGCCGGTTGTTTCTGCACCAGATGGAGTTAGATGAGATGATCTGTACAGCTCCTTCCAAGGGAGGGTTTGCCCAAGACATTTTGGCACCTGAGGCAGACCCTAAAATGCTCCCCACCAAGAAAAAATGGGACCAGGGAAGATCTACATCAGGAGCAGGGGCGGGTGAGAAAGACTGACATCGGGATCTGCTGTCCCTGCTGCCTGAGGTGGGTGCCTCACCTTGCCTCAAGCGTGGGCCAGGACTACATCCAAGTCTCTGTCTTGCCCGCATAGAAGCACGAAAAAGGATCACTAGGAGGAAGTCAAAATCACTTCTAGGTTATGTAACTTAATAGGCCAAAGTGTTGTCCTTCATGAGTCACTTGTTTGTCTGAAATTACTGAAATTTTCTATTTCTCATCACCAATGTTCCTTCTCTTACCTATTGGGGGGGGGGGTGTCTAACGTTTTCTTAACTGCGGGTGTGCTTGTATAGTTTGCAGCAATGATTATACCTGAACTGACAATTGCATGCAAGAGCTGAGTGAGGGGGGTGGGTGGGAGTCATTGTGATGATGAAAGTGAAAGGAAATGAGCCGTATGACAAATGGGCTGCATGTAATGGAAACCATAGCAACTCCAAGAGAGGTTTATAAATACCATATCACACAGGCTAAGTGAATTACTCCAAGGATTTGCAGGTAACGCTTCAGGACCCGGACAGAGAAAATGAGTGCAACATACAGGAGTGCCAGCCGGGAAGATGTGGTGTTACAAAATGGTGGATCAGACCAGTGGCCCCTCTGGTCCAGCATCCTGTTCTCACAGTGGCCAACCAGATGCCCGTGGGAAAAACCTGCAAACGGGATCTGAGCATAAGAGCACTCTCGCCTTCTTTTTTAAAAAAAGGTAAATGTAAAGGACCCCTGACAGTTAAGTCCAGTCGCAAAAGACTCTGGGCTTGTGGCGCTCATCTTGCTTTACTGGCTGAGGGAGCCGACGTTTGTCCACAGACAGTTTTTCCGGGTCATGTGGCCAGCAAGACCAAGCCACTTCTGGCAAACCAAAGCAGCGCACGGAAATGCTGTTTACCTTCCCACCAGAGCAGTACTTATTTATCTGCTTGCACTTTGTGCTTTTGAACTGCTAGGTTGGCAGGAGCAGGGACCAAGCAACGGGAGCTCACCCCATCGCGGGGATTTGAACCGCCGACCTTCCGATCATCAAGCCCTAGGCTCACAGCGCCACCCTCCCCTGCTTTATTCTGTCCTGTGTCTTGCAACATTCAGCTTTGCTGGGTGCCCACGAGTTCTAGTGTTATGAGAGAGGGAGAAAAACTTTCCCTACTTTCTCCAGGGCATGCATAATTTTATAAACTTCTATTATGTCGCCTCTTCCTTGCCTTTTCTCTAAGCTGGTTTAGAGAGCAAAAAAAGAGATGATCCATAGTTACTACCCCTCGCCTGCTTTTTTGCCCATGCTCCTTTGAATGGATGACATGGACTGGTTAGAAGAAGAAGAGTTTGGATTTGATATCCTGCTTTATCACTACCCAAAGGAGTCTCAAAGCGGCTAACATTCTCCTTTCCCTTCCTCCCCCACAACAAACACTCTGTGGGGTGAGTGGGGCTGAGAGACTTCAAAGAAGTGTGAAGCAGCTGCATGTGGAGGAGCGGAGACGCGAACCCGGTTCCCCAGATTACGAGACTACCGCTCTTAACCACTACACCACACTGGTTAGATGCAGAGGAATGGTGGGAGGAACCAGCTCTTGTGACAAGCTTCCCACCCCACTGGCCTCGTAGGACCAGGAGAGGCATGAAGCAGGAGGGGTAAAGGCAGGTATGCAGGCACAGTCTCTGATTGCTGGGGGGGGGGGCTGGATGGGAAGACACCTAAACAGCTGTGGGGAGGTGGGGACCTTTAGTTTCGGCAACTGCTTCATGAGGAAAGACCTACTGGAGATGGGTTGCTGTGCTCCTTAGGTCTGGCACTCCTGTGTAGATCCTGTTTTGCTAATAAACTCAAACTTGCTTGGTGTGATTTACTGCTGCCTTGCTCCTGTTAATGAACTGCTTAATTGGATTACTGGGCTGTACTGGTTGCATTGCAGGGCTCGTTAACCTGCTGTGACTGCACTCCTAGATGTTAAACGGGGGGCGGGGGGCGGGTGTCATGCTGAAGCTGCCAAACTGGAGACTTGGATTCAGCTTCCTGTTCCCCTAACTCTCTTTTTTTATATAATATTTTTTATTAATTTTTCCATTAATAATAATCCAATATGAGCCACATTGATAAAATACCAAATCATAATACAATTAAAAGAACCAATTATTCCATTCCAAATTAAACATTTTTGGGTGACTTCCCATGTTCTGATTTTGGGGAGACGCTGTTGTTATTCCTTCTTCCTACTTCCATTCTTATTTAATCAAAGTAATACAGTTCCAATGTTAATCCTTTATCTTAGCAGCCACTGACGTAATGACTTTCGTCTGTACTTAACTGTTCCATATCTGTTAATTTGCCAGAGGGGTTTATATCTTGCAACTTTCTGTGTGGAATATATTTTAAGGTTTGTCTTTCCTTTCCTGTTGCAATCCATTATTTTTTCTTACTGCACAATCCTCTTCACCATCTTTCTTTGGCATCTAGCCTTTGCTCT